TCCTTCTCCTTCCTTTTTTGACCCGGCATGCTGCTTCTTCTTCTCCTCCTTGCATATCTCTCAAAAATCCACCCTCTTCACCTCCATCACATTATGCATGTTTGCTTTTTTTTTTTTTTTTTGCTTTTTTTAAATTAAACTCCAAGTTGAATTTTGGGCTTTGAAAACCTCATGTCATCGTGTCACATCTTGCACATCTTTCTTAACTTTGGGGTTTTTGGCATCCGTGTGTTTGTGAGAGGGAACATCTGCACATCGCTGCACACTGTGTGTGTAGTGACAAGCTGTTCCACCGAGAGAGGGAGGGAGAGCGGTTCGGGAAAGGATGGAGGTATTTAGGGATGCAGTGATGGAAAGATTTTAAAGTGATGTATTTTTTATTATTATCTTTTTAAACAACACGATGACATACTAGAAGGGAACGCAGCGATCTGAGTTTGTGGATTGAATAAAGTAGTTGTGGTTGGAATGACATGGAAACGGACAGATGGCAGATGAGCTGCAAAATATTCTGAATCCTAAAGACATTCTGTTTGTTGTGGCATGTCAGATAACGGTGACAGGTTTCAGCTTCAGTGCGCGTATGCAAGCTTGTGCAGCGAGAATAAAGATGATGATGGTCAGAGCAGAGCACCACAGGGGGAAGAGGCTGCTGATGCACAAACGGGCTCAACTGTATTTTTATATATATACATATATATGTATGCATATATGCGTTTGTGACTCATTCGTCGCAGGTTTCTGCGTACGTGTGTGTGTGTGACTGTGTGTGCATAGGGGTGCGTGGGTGTGTGTGCGGGATTTGCTGCGTAGGCTTCTCACAGTATAGAAAATGCGTCATCTCACTGTTTGTTTTGGTTCTCTTTCCTCTTCTTCTCTATTCTTCCTTCTTCCATCTGTCCTTTCCTCTCCATCATCCCTCTTTCATCCTTTCCCACGACTGTCATCTCTCTCTCTCTCTCCGGATTAAACTCTCACCAATCTCTCTTGGCCCCCTTCCCCCCACCCACCCCATGCCCACTCTCCATCTCTTCTCTTTAATTCCTCCCACTCCCGCCGACCTCCATCCTCTGTCCATCCCAGCGAGGAGGTGTGTAAACATGGCTTCACGGTCATTGTTGACATGCGTGGCTCCAAGTGGGACAGCATCAAGCCTCTGCTGAAGATCCTGCAGGAGTCGTTCCCGTCCTGCATCCACGTCGCGCTCATCATCAAACCGGACAACTTCTGGCAGAAGCAGAGGACCAACTTCGGCAGCTCCAAGTTTGAATTCGAGGTAGGATGTTGAGCCAGTGTTCGAGGCAGTGATCGAATATTTCGATGTCTTACTCAAAAATAGCGTTTGAAGCTGTTGAGTGAATAGAAGCAACAGACGGTGATTTTCATTGAAATAACAGGTTCTGGTTTGTTTCGCACTGCCAGATTAATCAGTCATCTTAACACTGTTATATTTAAAGACTTGGATGCTGTTTGTGGAGGGGTTGTACTATTCACACTGGTGATGCGGCGCTTTATCATCCAAATATGCACATATATTCAGCCATGTTGACTGAAATCACCAAATAAGATGGTAGTTATCGAGTGTGTGGCATCAGTTGTGCTCTAGTTTATCAATCAAGAGCTTAAAGACTTTAAAACAGGTTAGGTTGTTTTTTCTTTTTGTTTTTTAAATGAAGATTTATTTTATTTCCCTGGTGCAAAGGGGAATGATAAATAACAAGGGGAAACAATATTGCCGTCAACTAAATTCTTACTCAGAATTTGTCCAGAATTTCATTACATTTTTTCCCTCCCTCTAATAAACGTTATGCGATAAGCAATAACATTCGCAATAATCAGCTGCCTCTCCAGGGAGTCTCGCCTTCTTGGACTGCAGCTGCTAATGCTCGTTCTGCTGTGCAGCCTCGGTCGGTGAGCTTGGCGTAGCGGCGCACGGAGCAGACGTCCACCTGCTGTAGGTTCTGGTTAAAGTGGCCCCAAAAGAACAAGGACTGGCGTCACCAGCTGCAGTCCAAGCTGGTGGAGTTTGAGTCTGTTTGACTGTCGGCAGGTGTTGGATGTTTAGCAGAGACTGAGCTTTCAAAATAAGAGCGAGAGGGTTTAGTAGGTGGCAGGGCTGGATGACCAAAATCTCATACCCTGATTATGCTAAAAGTAACAGTATAGTACATTTTCTGTCAAATAATATGATGACTACATACAAAGGACTTGTTCTACATTTAAAATTTAGCATTTTAAAGTGGAAAAAAATCCATCCAAATGATGAAATAAACACAGTTTTACAACACCGTGAAATAAACGATAATATCAAACAGATGTCGACATCGTCGACATCGTCGACATCGTCGTGTCCACAGCATAGTGGTTAAACGTCTACCTTACATCCAAAAGATCCACGGTTGGAGACACAGACCTTGCCCGTTGAACTCGTAGTGGCGATTCCAAGCTCGGATAAATGAAAGTATCCATCTACATGCCGAAAGTACCTTTTTCATCCAGTGTACATCACCTTAATCCTCAGAAGGATTAAAAATTATTATCTAACGATTTATATCGGTCTTTAAAGTAGAGGTGGGAATCACCATACATCATAATCACCACGATACGATATTATCACAATACTTAACGCACGATACGATATTATTGCAATACTTAACGCACGATACGATATTATTGCAATTTTTTAAAATATTTTGCGATATTCAGATTCTGTACATAAAGGTAAACTTTATCAATATTCATTTTCTCTAATATCAAAGTCTCGCACTCAGTCTTTCTCTCATTTCAGTTTGATTGTTGACAAACCGAACGGTTTGTATTACAGTCTAGTCCAACTTAACTGAATCAACCATCTGGTACAATTATAGCTATTCTGAACTATGCAGTTTATGAAAACTATGCAGCCCCTTCAGCAACTGAAGAATTTGAAAGTAAATTAAAACAAAATATAATTTTACATTAAATAAAAAAGTTTTAAACTTAATTAAAATAAAACATGTCTTAAATTAAAATAAGTAAACTGTCACATTTGGACAGTGAAGGAATGTCAGGATTCTTGCTCAGAAAAAGGATCAACATGCTCTGAAGTCAGAGCACAAAAACCTTTTTTGTAACAAAATCTGTTACATGTATTAATGTATCGATGTCCCTGTATCGATACATTATTAGCAAACAAAATATCACGATACTACACAGTATCGATTTTTTCCCCCACCCATACTTTAAAGCAAGGAAGATTTAGGACGAGGCCGTTAAACATAAAGCTCAGGGGAGCGGGACCAGAATCGGACCGCCAAAGACTCCAGTCCGGCTCACTGGTTGACTTTGGGAAGTGTGAAGGAGGGCATCAATTTTGGACTTTTAACTGTATTTTCTTGGCACCATTCATACTAGACCAAAGTTAATAAGTTGTAAACAATTAAAAGTAAGAAAGTTCCTGTTTTCTGCCATACAGATGTGTTATTGCACTTCTTTTTATGTTAAAATAACTTCTTTACAGCAGCCCGGCCCACTGAAGCTCAGAGTGGGCGGTACGTTTCCCACAATGTAAAATGAGTTTGACATCCCTGATTTAGGGGAACTGTTGCAGTTGATATGTGAGCACATATATCTCACAGCTGCCTGTTCTCAAGCGGATCAGTTTTACATTTGGCATTTTAAAGGAACTCGTCACAAAAGCCTTTTAAAAAGCCCCCACCCTCACCTCCCTCCAATTTGCTGTCAGCTGAGCTGTGATAACAACCGCTCTGCCGCCTCCCCTCCCTCCACACCCCCGAGCTGCTCATTGTCAGCACATTTCATTATTTTCCTCTCCCCGCTGCTTTGGGTGCGTACACCACCAGCCAGCTGTCTGCCATAGGGAAAAAAATTTCATCACATCCAACCCAAAAACGGCTCACTGCAGCTCACGAGGACGAGTATTCGTTACGCTGTCAGTCAAGCGATAGAAGGCATTTTCACAGCTAATTAAGTGATGCGTTCACACGAACAGGCTTATTTTTTTACCCTCTGACCATTTCGTCGTCATAAACTCGACTCTGAAATGTGCACCAGCGGAGCGCTCTGTGTAGTAAATGTCTTCCGATGAGAGCGGAATAACAATTCCCCTCCCCCTGTTTGATCTGTCATTAGCCAACCTTGCTTACTACGATGATCATCAGCATTTGTTGTGGAGAAACTTGGGTTGGCATAAGCTGCTGTGTTGTCTTTATTGTTTTTTTATGCAGTGTGTTTTTCTGATACGGAGTGGAAATTTCCCCCTCTAGCTTCTGATTATAGCTACGTAGGAGAACGCACGAGTGTGGAAATTTACTGTGATTGCTCACATGTGTATGAACACGACCTCACTGTAGTCTCATTATATCATATTGATCTTTTGATAGGAAGAATAGCCACAGGGAACGTTATAGTTATCCATGCACCGCTCTGTCATGCCGCACAGGCATTGATTGGATAGCGTGCATGTGCGTTCATGTGCAGGCTTCATCGCCCCCTGTCCATGCTTTATGTTTTATTAAGATTTCAGAAGTTTTCATCTTGCACTCTTCATGCAAAATTGATACAGAGCTGTTGCTAGGACTACAGTTGCGTGTATGTGTGAGCGTCCAGCATTCAGTGTGTGCATCAAGGATTTTTCTCTCACTTCGTGTAATAGAAACCAGAAGTAGGACATGGTCCTCCCTTTTTGTCATCAGTTCATACACAAAGAAAGCAAAGCTCAGAGAGCCGGTCGCAATCTCTCTCTTTTTTCGTTCGATTGTTGATAAATGGCACAGTTTAGCACAAGCATAAAATGCTACCCGAACGTCCCTGGCCGACTATCGCTCCATTCAGCGGAGTACAAATCGGTACAATAGCGAACGCGGCAGCATCAGTATTTTTTCCCTGGCAAGAGCCGCTGTGCTTTTTTACCCAAGGACAACAGTGCATCTCTGCATTGTTTGGCCTACACAAAGCCTATCCGAGCGATCGCTCCGACTCCATCCATCTCTGGCCATGTGTGTGGGGGTGTTTTGTGCGGAGGTGGAAACGCAGGCAACACAGGGAGACTTTTCCTCGGCGTATCACTGAAATTGATATCATGCTGGGGATTTGAAATTCACTTAAGTCTAACATCAAGGAGGCAAAGAAAAGTTGCGGCAGGCTGTTAAAGGTTTAGTTCTGAGTTTTGAAGTCTCAAAGACAACATTTTGGGTTGTGGAGGATCTCTTTGGTAGACGGGAGGAGTGTGCTTAAATTAGCAGCATCTCGAGGCATGTTATTAATCACGGAGCTTCTGCTGAAGGTCACATCTCTACAACTCTGCCGTAATTGGGGGGGGAAGAGGACTAGACGTTAGTGATGTCTTTTCTGTGAGTAAATAAAAATCGTACTTTTCAGCAACGAAACACGGCAGAAGGTGAAAGATTAGAAGCATTTACCACTCAAGTGTCCACCTGAACGCCCTCCTTTAAACCCTCGTTCTTTGCTTCTCGCTCCACTAGACCACCATGGTGTCACTCGAAGGCTTGACGAAAGTGGTGGACCCCTCTCAGCTGACAGCAGACTTTGACGGCAGCCTGGACTACAACCACGAAGAGTGGATAGAGGTACGATCAGCTCAGCCGTCCTGTCACTTCAGACCGTCTGTGCCAAGATCCCCCAAATCCCCAGTGATGTCCAAATCGGATGATTAAGCGGACACAGGATTATTCTTCTTTCTGATCTGATTGTTTCCTTCTTAAGACAGCCAACCAAACCGCCCATAAGTGGGTCACCATAACTCAGTGGTTTTTTTTGTTTGCTGGTGTTTCCGTCCAGGTGCGTGTAGCGTTTGAGGATTTCTCTGGCCATGCCACCCAGATGCTGGCTCGATTAGAAGAGATGCAGGAAACCGTGTCAAGGAAAGACTTTCCCCAAGACCTGGAAGGAGCCAGACGGATGATAGAAGAGCACGCCACACTGAAGAAGAAAGTCATTAAAGCTCCTATAGAGGAACTGGACACTGAAGGGCAAAGGTAAAAAAACAAAACAGTGGTTCTGCATCTTTCTATATATCATATATAATGTATCAGAAATGCCTGTTTTTAAGTCTTTGTTCTGGTTGTGTGTGTGAATCCAGGTCATTTGTATGAAAGATGAACAGGGCAACAGGTTGGAGTGTGATCAAGAGTTTGGGCAGTGCTCTCTTCCCCCTTTTTTTCTCCTTTTTGGGGTTATCAGTTAACAACGGAGGCTAGCTTGACTGAAACAGTAGCAAAAACCTTAAGTCTTTGATGTTAATGCAAACATCAAATCTGTTTCCAGATTGCTGCAGCGCATTCAGAGCAGCGAGTCTTTCTCCAACCGCAATGGCAGCAGCGGCGGCAGCAGCAGTAGCGGCAGCGGAGTGTGCAACGCGGACACCCAAGGCCTGGTGCCGCGCATCACCCAGCTGCTGGACAAGCTGCACTCCACCCGGCAGCACCTCCACCAGGCGTGGCACGTCCGCAAGCTCCAACTGGATCAGTGTTTCCAGCTGCGCCTGTTCGAGCAGGATGCAGAGAAGGTCTGTGGCTGGTTCTCTGTGAGCTGTGATGTAGTGATAATCTATAACCAGAGCTGGTGATCACTGCAGGGCACACAAATGCCAATATACATATTTAAAAAAATGCAATTACACACACTGAGAAGCATCGACTGATGCTGTTTGCGAAGACCTCGTGTACTGTAATCGAGCCCTCGGGATCTTAAACACTAAACAGGTTTGCCCTCCTCCACCGTGAGAGGCGGGAAGATGGAGGCTAGCTCACGCAGGTGCACCGCCACCTACTCTGGCTGCCACCCAGACGGCTCGGGCGATGACAGCTGCGTCACAAAATAAGAAGAGACAGGGAGAGAAATGCACAGATCCGTGTTGGAGTGAGTAGAATAAAATAGCAGGTTGCAGCAACACAGAGCGAGCTGCAGTCTTGGATACACTGCAGTAGTAGGAGCTTGTTGCTAGGACACCATAGGCCACAAGTTGTTCTCTAAGAGAGCCAGAGAGGATGCTCTTAATAGAGGCAGTCCATTTCTCTGTATGCTGGCCTGGATAGATGTTCGAACACTGCAGCAGTGAGCAAACACGCTCAGGTTTGCCCACACGGCTCAGTCCCAGCTGTTTGTGCCTGTTCTTGCAACAATCTGCAGGAGTTAGTAATGAACGCAGCCCTTGTGTGTCTGTGCTTTTATTTTTTTATTGATATTTTTTCTCTTTGTGTGTATTTGTCGTCATGCCTCAGATGTTCGACTGGATCATGCACAACAAGGGTTTGTTCCTGGCAGGCTACACAGAGATCGGCAACAACCACCCCCATGCTGTGGAGCTGCAAACCCAGCACAGCCACTTCGCCATGAACTGCATGGTGAGACACACACTGATTCGCAGCAGGAGATAATGCTTTTCTTCCCACTTGGACTCAAGTCGGTGCCCTACACTGTATAATAATATAGTTATTGCACTTAGTGTCAAGCTCTACTGCTGGGTTTGAGTGTTTGTTTAGAGCAGCCTGCGCTTCCGTGCACTTGCACATTTTCTCCATGTTAGGAGCAACACAACCAGGTATTAAGTAATCCTATTCTCTATCCACAGTCTGCCTTACATAACCATTATGAAACTGCTGAGACGAGGAATCAATCCAGCCGCTGAGGGTTTCTGCTCACAGATGAGAAAAAAACAGCAGCAGACCAATAGTGTCTTTTACTTTGGCCTATTCACTTATTAAACGATGATGTATTAACCGTGTTACCAAGTCTAAGGCACTTTTTTTGGTCTTTTTTTTGCATATGGAAAAAAATACTTTTTTTAAACAAAAAAATAATATTTATTGGTATTTCAGAAATAAAAACACAAAAACATGTGCATTATTTTCTGGGTAATGTGCAGCCGTGTGACCTAATACCGATGTTATAATGTAAATTGAGTAATCGTGGAAGCTTTGCCTTAAAAATATACCTGAGTACCTGAAGTAAACGTGCTCAATGTGCAACATGACCCATTCTCACAATAATATACCGCTTTAAACCTTCTTTTGGTTCCTCCTCTCAGTTCCTCTCTCGTCTGCACGTACCTGTGGCCTCGGATGTTAGACCAAGTTTTTGCTTCTTTCATTTCTTTCATTTCGCGCCTTTCTTCCTCATCGTCCTGTACAGAACGTGTACGTCAACATCAACCGGATCATGTCCGTGGGGAACCGGCTGCTGGAGTCGGGTCACTACGCTTCCCAGCAGATCAAGCAGATCTCAAGTCAGTTGGAGCAGGAGTGGAAGGCATTCGCCGCCGCATTGGACGAACGTAGCACGCTGTTAGAGATGTCGGCCGGTTTCCATCAGAAATGTGACCAGGTGAGTGTGACGGTTTGGTAAATGGCAAGAAATGTTCATGGACTGAATATGTTAGAATTGACTGTTTGAGCCTTTAATGTCGTGATTTGAAAAATGCTTCAATTGTTTTCTTTATAAATGAATGGAAATGTCAAAAAAGAATAAATCCTGTACCCTCACTTTAGTAATTAAGCTCAACCCTATCAATTTTTAGCTCTTATGATAAGAAGCTTGTTTCTCAAAAGTCTTAACTAGCCATTGAACACTGGTTCAGTGGGAACCAATCGGTAAACCTCGCGCTGATGTGCTGTTCAGGTAGCCGAGGTGTTGACCTTTTGTAATGAATGCAAATGAATACACACGTGCACACTTTTTGGATTGTAAAGTAACCATTTGGATTAATTGAATAAACTCTAGCACATACATTTCATTTACATATATTTGCATGAATAAATTCTGAATGTAAGTACTGTGTGTGTGTGTGTGTGTGTGTGTGTGTGTGTGTGTGTGTGTGTGTGTGTGTGTGTGTTATCTGCTGGTATCCGTGCTCATTAGTCAGGCCACTATGGAATGATTCATGGCCTTAAAAAGTACACAAGCAGCATAACAGCCAGGGAACATGGGCAAACTTTTCCGACCTGGAATGCTGCCGTCATCAGACCAGCCTTTCATGTTTGTAAGATGAAATAGAAAAGGGCATTTTGTTCCCAGAGGTTTTTCCACTCCACACATACATGAAGAGAACAAAGACTTAAAACAAGCTTCTCTTCTGTATGTGATTCCAATTATGATGTGAGAGGTGTTTAAAAGGCAAATCATTAAGATGGAGATATTTCTCAGAGGTCAATCTTAATGATTGTTATGTTTTCCCCCATCACTCCTACAGGGGGTACAGGAAGCTTCTAGGAAGTCACCACAGGCCAATGAACAGCAGGTTCAGCTATAGATGATTCTTCTAATAGATCTCATGGGCAAAAGATGATTTCTGCAGGTTTACACCCAGGCGATGTCTTTCTATGCTCTGCTGTTTGTGACCCCTGGGAAGAGCGCACAGATGTATAAACCACCAGTGTGTCACGTGAACTATGCTTCTCCTCTCGCTGCAGTACATGAGTAATGTGGACTCCTGGTGTAAGGCATGTGGCGAGGTGGACTTGCCTTCTGAGTTACAAGACCTCGAAGATGCCATCCACCATCACCAAGGCCTGTACGAGCACATCACAGCTGCTTACTCGGAGGTAAGTTCACACACACGATGGAGTTAGTCTGCTGTCCAGAGGGCAGGATTAGCTTTAGCGGCATTTATCTTTCCGATTCACGTCGAGCTTTCAAAACATTTTCTAACCTCAGGTGAGTCAAGATGGCAAAGCTCTGCTGGACAAGCTGCAGCGACCTTTGACCCCAGGCAGTGCCGATTCACTGACGGCAACGGCAAACTACTCTAAGGCAGTGCACCACGTCCTGGACATCATCCACGAGGTGCTGCATCACCAGAGACAGCTGGAAAACATCTGGCAGCACCGTAAAGTGCGTCTACACCAGCGCCTGCAGCTCTGCGTGTTTCAGCAGGACGTCCAGCAGGTACGCACACGTTTCCAGTTTACTGCGTGTATTTTTGTTTATATCTTCATGCATGCGCGCATTTGTTCGAGCACACTGCAATTCTAAGGACCGAGCTTAATTGCCAGGGTTACACATTAATTTGAAAATAGCAGGCTAAGCATATGGCTAGATGAATACTACACTTAATAGAGGGTTTGATTGCAACCGCAGGCATGTTTCCTATCGACATGTCCTTGAGTTATTTGCTGGAACGATGCACGTTCAGTCCTCACATGTCGCTGTGGATAGGAGCACTGGATGAAGGCCTGAAATAAAAAGGCTTTCTGCAGAATAAAAGCTCGCATACTGTAATCAAATGGTCCCAACATAACAATACCGCTGCACACTGTCCAGAAATCATAGGCATTCCTCAGTGTGTTGACATGGCAACTATTGCTATGGCAACTGAATTGGGTCATATGGCCATGCAGATGCTGTTCATCCTACGGAGGACAAAGTGCACAGAGGGGAGTGTGCAAAGCAAGACTCCGTGGCTCCTGTTAACCCCGCTCATGGTTATTTCTGCCATTCCTTTGCTCTCATGTACAGTTTTCATCGTTAACACTTGTGGCAGTAATACCGCGTCAGAGCGCCCCCTTGTGGTGTTATACGTTTCACAGTGGGTAATGTGGTCTTTGCACAGGTTTTGGACTGGATAGAAAACCATGGCGAGGCCTTCCTCAGCAAACACACAGGGGTGGGAAAGTCTCTCCACCGAGCCAGAGCTCTCCAGAAACGCCATGAAGACTTTGAGGAAGTGGCACAGGTAGCTTGATTCCTGCCCTTTTGTCAGGTTTAAACCAGTGCACCAGTCACTGCATTGCTGGTGTGTGCTGTTTTTCTTCTTCTTTTGCTACTGTAATGTCTTCTACTGTGTTGTGTTGTCTCCATGTTATTATATTAATTTACAATCTTTGGGCATTTCACTATTAGTGAAAGACACTCTGACTCATTATTGGGGGGAAAAGATGAAAAAAGTAAAGGTGCGGTGAGGGTTAGCAAATCTCGGCTATGCTAATGCTTATTAGCTTTAATTTGTTAATGTAAAATATTAGCTATTCAAGCTAGCAGAGATACTTTAGTTTTTGTTTATAAAGACTTAGTTTCTAGGTTTTATTGTTTGACATTGTTGGTTTTATTAGCTTAAGTGTTAGCTAAACTCTATTTTTTAAATAGTTTTTTATGAACAGTATTTGTCCGAGTAAAAGTTAACGCATTCTCAGCATTTTGTGAAGGTATTTGGCCAAGGTCAGGTTCTTGCCTTGATTTTAGCTGATTAAAATAATTTTACAAACTAGATAAGCTCTCAGTAGGTTTTTCACAATTTCACCCAAAGTAATGTGTAGACCCCTGCTGCACACACAGACCTGCATCTGCATGTGCAGCTGTTTGCAGTAAAAATGTCTTTTAATGCCAGCTCACCCGTGACTCTTCAGTTTGGGTTATACTGCCATATATGGTTGAGATGTTGTATTAACTGTACTGTTTTTTTATTTTTATTTTTTTATCTGTTTATATAAACACTAAGAAGTGGTGTGCACCTGCTACATCTGTGTGTTCCTACTCTTTGCTTGCATATATTTATCTAACACCTTGAGTTACTGGATACTATGTTTATACAGCAAGCATGTAAAATATTACTTGCATATACTTAAAAATACTATGTTTTGCATTTGTTACAGCTATAATCCTTTTATATTTCCACACTAGTAGTGTAGAATACTCCGACAACCTCGTTAACTTTAACCAAAAAATATCAACAACTTGTTGACGTCCCACCGTTACACAGCCATTTGTTTCCGTTTCTGCGCCTTTCTTTGTATGTCCCCTTCACGCGCTGTTTGTATCTGTTTCCTTTCACTACCTATTTCTGTGAACCTCTGCTGTCACTGATTTAATCAGTATACACGTCTTCATATCCTGTTTTTCATTTTTGTCTCTGCCTGTACGATTTCTCTCTCTCTCTCTCTGCCCATCTTCGAACTGCATTGGGCTCGTTTTACACTGCCTTCTTCAGCTAATCCGTCTCCCCCTTTACCTCCGGCCTCGGTGTAGAATACGTACACCAATGCAGACAAGCTGCTGGAGGCGGCCGAGCAGCTGGCCCAGACAGGAGAGTGCGACCCAGAGGAGATCTACCAGGCCGCCCACCAGCTGGAAGACAGGATTCAAGACTTTGTTCGCCGCGTGGAGCAGCGCAAAGTCCTGTTGGACATGTCTGTCGCCTTCCACACGCACGTCAAAGAGGTGGGCAGGAGGGATGACATAATGTTGAAGTGGATGGTGGGCTGCGTGTGTGTGTGGTTGAGAGCTTTCACAGGGCTCTCTGAGCAAGAGGGAAATAATTACCAGGTGAAATGTTTATATTTTGTGTTTAACGGACTTAGAGAGCAATTAACGTTGTTCAAACTGGTGAGAGGACTTGGTCAGTAACTATACTGTCCTCCCTTTAGGTTCTGATAATCGCCGTTTGTAATACAGAAAAAGGTGATAAATGTATGCCGGATCCTGTCCTGTGGTCAGGGTGAGAACATGAGTGTTAACCAAAAAGAGGTGTCACACAGGCTCGTGTATATGCAGTGTATGAGACTTACCAGAAACCCAGTGGATAAACCATCAGACTAGTTTACCTGCAATCAAACTGAATAAGATTTCTAAGAATCTGGCATCCCTTCTTCTAGTTGTGGACATGGCTGGAGGAGCTCCAGAAGGAGCTGCTGGACGACGTTTATGCCGAGTCTGTGGAGGCCGTCCAGGATCTGATCAAGCGCTTCGGCCAGCAGCAGCAGACCACGCTGCAGGTCACCGTCAACGTCATCAAGGAGGGAGAGGACCTCATCCAGCAGCTCAGGTAGCGCAAATGAGATTGTATTTCGAGTATGGACTCTCTCAAAACAAAGATGTTCTGATGCAAAAGTAATGCAATCCAACCGATCCTTAAAATCCGTTCAGCTACTAGTAACAGATAATGGTGCACATGTTCTGCCCACGTATATGCACGGATATTAAAACGTGTCAAGACAAGGAGGGAAGAAAAAACTCATGTCTCCTTATGTAATAGTACTCTTCCCGTGTTTCTCTCAGTTGTAGTTTTGGCAGGTTAATTTAACCGGGGATGAGTTTGGAATTCAAATTTGTGGCGAAAGCGCAAAATATTCAATATGTGTCATTTTGAAGACGTTAATGGCGGTGCGTGAAGAGCGACAGAGAAAGCTGAGAGGCAAGGAGGAGGTGTTGGAGAAGAGGATTCAGTTGACCCTCATTATCCAGCTTTATTTTTATGCAGAGGACGTTCCAGTCCCCCCCCCCTCAGTTTTTTCTTCTGTCTTTCTCTCATTGCTCGCTCTCCACGGTGTATTGGCTCCACGGTGAAGTCTTACATAACACTGCTTTTAAAAATGCGTGTCCAATGGTGTGACACTCTCCCCAAGAGGCAACTGTAACTCCACACAGCTTCTGCTAACGAGTGTGCGCAGGACTAGGAGTGCACCTGCTGCACAGATTAACCAATGTGATCGGCCAATCAGAACACACCTGACCTCCGATTCTTTGCCTGCTCATATTTAGCCTCCCCAAATCTGTTGTTTGCATGTTTGTGCATCATACGTGTATCTGTGAGACTGATGAGTCAGAATCTGTATGAGCTGCTTCATTTCCTCTCTCTCTTCTTAAACAAAAATATATGCGTCTTTGCAGACCCCGTTGCCCACGCGAACACGTGAGCTTCGGAGCGATTTAGGCCGTTTTAATTTTTTATAAATTTGAATAATTGGCATCTGGTTGAGAGTGAGAGCTGTGAAAGGCTGGGACTGGGTCCACAGTTGCCACTAATTTGTATTTATTAATTCATTCATTCACCTCTTGTAATAAATACTTATTCATTATTATTTTTTCTAGCTCTAAAGTCCCTGAAAATATGCAATAGTCCTTCTCTTTAAAAAGAGATTAGGAGGTTGTGTAATTTTGTGGAACCAGCTCCCAGTTTGGGATCGGGACACAAATGCTGTCTGTGCTTTTCAGGTGACACTAACCCCCCCACCCCCCCAAGTTACAGTGTAATAGTTCTAGGCTGCTGGGGGCTTCCCATGATCCAGTTTCACTATCAATGTGTTCAGACACCTCTAATTTCTCTTTTGTCCCGTCTCCCTCCCCTCACCCTCAACCAGTCACGGCTCTGATTGTGGTCATGGTTCTGCTGGATTTTTCTTCCTGTTAAACGGGAGTTTTTCCTTTCCACTGTTGCCAAGTGCTTGCTCACAGAGGGTCGTCTGATTTGTTTATTCAATTTAATATTCACATTGATGAACACTTCTGTGCAGGTTTAATGTTTCGTCTTACTTTATGAAGATCCCAGCTTGATGGCGTAAATGCACGACTTCAGTTTTCCTTTGTGGTGAAACAGTAAAATCTGTGTTGCTATTTTTGGCTCCAGTGCTGTGTTATGGACTATAAATCTTTCTCATTAAGTAATGAAATCCATGTAAGACTGCTGACAGGCTGCAGGATTTCAAACACTCAATATATTGTCACAAAAATGAAGGACAGAGGGAGTCTGTCACGATGCTGGGTGCTCCTATTAAACATGCCCACAGTTTTAATGTGTGCATTAGGGCTGCTCGATTAATCGTTAGAAAATCGCAATCTCGATTCATACTTATGTGCGATCTCATTTCCAAAGGACAACGATTTAAAAAAAAAAAATTAAAAAAAAAGACGATTGTACCGCATTTTGATCTGGGACATGATCTGCATAAAAACAAGCGCTCACTCTTCCTGCTCAACAAATGACAAGGGCGGAGCCTTATACCATGTGATACAGAAACCATCTGGCAGGGAAAAAAACAACGGAGAGCACATGAAACTGCCCGAGGGGAGAAAACACAATGAGCGCAGAGGAAAAGCTCGCTGGTGGTGGTGAGAATGACAACCTCACTGTAAAATTACTTCCAAGAAAAGGTTCTCATTCCTCCGTGTGGAAGTTTTTTGGCTTCAAAGAAGACGATGAGAGTCAAAAAAATATTTGCAAGCTGTGTTTTGCCATAGTAGCAGCACCGCAAGCTAACACTACAAATCTATATAACCACCTCAAACGTCACCGTAAAGTGCAATATGACGAAGCTGTAAAGGCCAAGAAAGTGACAGGAGAAAATCTGTCCCAGTCAACCACCCAAACATCAATAACAGGAACCTTATACAGCGCTTCCCTATACCCGAAGAACTCCCGCAGGCACAAAGAAATTACGGAGGCTATCACTTATCACCTGACCAAAGATATGGCTCCATCAACACTGTGCAAAACGAGGGATTTAGGAAAATGATCAACACCCTAGACAAACGCTACACAGTGCCGACCCGCAACTATTTTTCTATTGTTGCACTAACTGCTCTATACACGCAGTGTCGAGCAACGGTGGAGACGGAATTTCAAGCAGTACAACGACAGACTTATGGTCCTGCCATGGTCAACTATCATATTGTCATGTCAAGCGTTATATTTTGTTAATATTTGTGGTTTACATTTTAAGAAACATACCTATTACCTACCTCTGTCATCACCTTACACACGCAAAGAATACTGTACGTAAGAGTAGACAAGTGAGACATTTATTGTTTTTATGTTCAGTCTCAACTGTTACAAAGTTGATGTGCAGTTAATAAGTGCAATAAATATTTATATTGGAAAAAAATCGTGAGAGAATCGTGATCTCAATTCTAAGCAAAAAAATCGTGATTCTCATTTTATGCAAAATCGTGCAGCCCTAATGTGCATTGAATATGTAATTCCTCAAATACAGCGTCTCAGTTTCTTCTGCTCTGTGTGGTGTAAGTGAGCGGACACCCCAAATATTGTCCCCTTACAAACAGAACTGGCACAGAAGTCTCACTCGGGAGTCATTCAACCCTCCTGTTTAAGACGGACAGCCAATCAGAAGAAGGCAAACATAACGGGGCAGCTGCTTGTGATTTGGCTGAACCAAATCCTGATATGAGACAGTAAATCGGCACAGTGGCTCTCCCTGTTGTGCTGCGGTGTCCCTTTAAAGCTGCTCTGCGTCCATTGTTTTTATGGTCAGCACTTCATCACATGGTTTAATAGCCGTTTGTGCATTTGTGTTGCAGGGACTCCGCCATCTCCAGCAACAAGACGCCCCACAACAGCTCCATCAACCACATCGAGAGCGTCCTCCAGCAGCTGGATGAAGCCCAGGCACAGATGGAGGAGCTCTTCCAGGAGAGGAAGATCAAACTGGAGCTCTTCCTGCAGCTCCGCATCTTTGAGAGGGATGCCATCGATGTGAGTCCTCATAGGTGGATTTGTTTCCACAGGAAGCTGTTTATACGAAAGAAACTCTCAGTTCAGCCTCACTCACTGCACTTTTAGCTGTAAATGGTTCAGCTACAACTGATCAGCGTCACTTCTCTCTCATCAGACATTTGAATACCTCCCCTGTACCCTTAATTACGAATTATTGACTATTCTAATTAGAGGTGGGAATCACCATACATCCCACGATACGATATTATTGCAATTTTTTAAAATATTTTGCGATATTCAGATTCTGTACATAAACTTTATCAATATTCATTTT